AATATCAGTGGAAAAGCCGAAAATTGATTAATCATTATGTATATTAGGTAATTAATAATATTTAGTATTTAACATATCAAGTAGATGAGACACGAAATCATGGGATGGGATCATGTAATAGCGATGTTAGGAATGACGGTTACAGCAAACAACCACATTTACAAAGGAGACCAAACGATCCAAGTGGCACGTTTGTCCGTACCACCATACGGGTTATCACACAGTACATGTATGCAGTACAATGCTTACTTATTGAGTACAAGCTATATATGATGGTTGTAAATATACTAACAATGTTATTACATATTATGTATGGTATACTGCCTCTAGATATACATGTACTATAATTATATTATACCAGCGTATGAAAGCCATCAATGCAGTATTTTGATTGGACGCTACCCTGTTTAAATTAACGCAAGTCATGGTTAAACAGAACATAATGCACTGTTATTGTTTTTGAATTTATGGCCCTGATTTATTTTCATCATTTAAACTACATAATGATAAACACTATGATATATTAACAGTTTTAAATAAAGGGGAAAGTCTCTTTAATGAAAATAAGTAGACAAACAATTATAATAAAGTGCATCACAGCTATTTACTGTGCCTGTGTGAAGTAATGATGCATTTATATAGATTTGTTATGATGGCATCAAATCTATCAAAGCCTCCAAAAAAAATAATTTGAAAAGTAATTCAAACTACAGAATATTAGAATGGTAAATAGTTTTACGTCTCATAATATTTTACTTTGGATTCTTCAAGAATATGTGTAAACTGTTGTAGTTGGATTTTGTTATACTGTACAGTACAATCTTGTGGTACAATGTATACCAATATTTGGGATTGGTTTATTGCTTACTCAATATAAATGCATAAAAGTCAATCAAACAGTTTAGTGTATGAAGTCCAGGACAATTGGGGGAAAAGGTGAAAAACTAGATTGATGCAAGCTTTATTTAGATGCAAGCTTGTTGATCTGTTCATTGTCTCTGTATTTTTATGTCCTAATAAGGTAGGATGTAGATGTTGCAAAATTACAGCATGTGGAAACTTTGTGAAATACAATTACTAATGCATATAATATTGGAGTTTAGAGTAGAATATAAAGTGGTGGTTTGAATTATGAATAGATTTTAGTTCCCTACAGCTACATACATGTACAACACTGATTTTCAAGATTCAGGGGTTGAACATTGAAGGCACCACCACACAGTCAGGTAGAGCATCAAGGCAGTCAGGTAGAGCATCAAGGCAGTCAGGTAGAGCATCAAGGCAGTCAGGTAGAGCATCAAGGCAGTCAGGTAGAGCATCAAGGCAGTCAGGTAGGGCATCAAGGCAGTCAGGTAGAGCATCAAGGCAGTCAGGTAGGGCATCAAGGCAGTCTAGTAGGGCATCAAGGCAGTCTAGCAGGGCATCAAGGCAGTCAGGTAGGGCATCAAGGCAGTATAGCAGAGCATCAAGGCAGTCAGTTGGGGCATCAAGGCAGTATAGCAGAGCATCAATGCAGCCAGGTGGGGCATCAAGGCAGTCCGGTATGGTGTCAAGGCTGTCAGGTAGGGGCATCAAGGCTGTCAGGTAGGGCATCAAGGCTGTCAGGTAGGGCATCAAGGAAGTCAGGTAGGGCATCAAGGCAGTATAGCAGGGCATCTAGGCAGTCTAGCAGGGCATCAAGGCAGTCAGGTAGGGCATCAAGGCAGTCAGGTAGGGGCATCAAGGCAGTCAGGTAGGGCATCAAGGCAGTCTAGCAGGGCATCAAGGCAGTCTAGCAGGGCAGTCTAGCAGGGCATCAAGGCAGTCAGGTAGGGGCATCAAGGCAGTCAGGTAGGGCATCAAGGCAGTCTAGCAGGGCATCAAGGCAGTCTAGCAGGGCATCAAGGCAGTCAGGTAGGGCATCAAGGCAGTCAGGTAGGGCATCAAGGCAGTCTAGCAGGGCATCAAGGCAGTCTAGCAGGGCATCAAGGCAGTCAGGTAGGGGCATCAAGGCAGTCAGGTAGGGCATCAAGGCAGTCTAGCAGGGCATCAAGGCTGTCGGGCAGGGCATCAAGGCAGTTTAGCAGGGCATCAAGGCAGTCAGGTAGGGGCATCAAGGTAGTCAGGTAGGGCATCAAGGCAGTCTAGCAGGGCATCAAGGCAGTCAGGTAGGGCATCAAGGCTGTCAGGTAGGGCATCAAGGCAGTCTAGCAGGGCATCAAGGCAGTCTAGCAGGGCATCAAGGCAGTCTAGTAGGGCATCAAGGCAGTCTAGCAGGGCATCAAGGCAGTCAGGTAGGGCATCAAGGCAGTATAGCAGAGCATCAAGGCAGTATAGCAGAGCATCAAGGCAGTCAGTTGGGGCATCAAGGCAGTATAGCAGAGCATCAATGCAGCCAGGTAGGGCATCAAGGCAGTATAGCAGAGCATCAAGGCAGTCAGTTGGGGCATCAAGGCAGTATAGCAGAGCATCAATGCAGTCAGGTAGGGCATCAAGGCAGTCTAGCAGGGCATCAAGGCAGTCAGGTAGGGCATCAAGGCTGTCAGGTAGGGCATCAGCAGTCTAGTAGGGCATCAAGGCAGTCTAGCAGGGCATCAAGGCAATCTAGTAGGGCATCAAGGCAGTCTAGCAGGGCATCAAGGCAGTCAGGTAGGGCTTCAAGGCAGTATAGCAGAGCATCAAGGCAGTCTGGCAGGGCATCAAGGAAGTCAGGTAGGGCATCAAGGCAGTCTAGTAGGGCATCAAGGCAGTCTAGCAGGGCATCAAGGCAGTCTGGCAGGGCATCAAGGCAGTCTGGCAGGGCATCAAGGAAGTCAGGTAGGGCATCAAGGCAGTCTAAAAGGGCATCAAGGCAGTCAGGTAGGGGCATCAAGGCAGTCAGGTAGGGTATCAAGGCAGTCAGGTAGGGTATCAAGGCAGTCTAGCAGGGCATCAAGGCAGTCAGGTAGGGCATCAAGGCTGTCAGGTAGGGCATCAAGGCAGTCTAGTAGGGCATCAAGGCAGTCTAGTAGGGCATCAAGGCAGTCTAGCGGGACATCAAGGCAGTCTAGTAGGGCATCAATGCAGTCTAGCAGGGCATCAAGGCAGTCAGGTAGGGCATCAAGGCAGTATAGCAGAGCATCAAGGCAGTCAGTTGGGGCATCAAGGCAGAATAGCAGAGCATCAATGCAGCCAGGTGGGGCATCAAGGCAGTCCGGTATGGTGTCAAGGCTGTCAGGTAGGGGCATCAAGGCTGTCAGGTAGGGCATCAAGGCTGTCAGGTAGGGCATCAAGGCTGTCAGGCAGGGCATCAAGGCAGTTTAGCAGGGCATCAGGGCAGTCAGGTAGGGCATCAAGGCAGTCAGGTAGGGCATCAAGGCAGTCAAGTGGGGCATCAAGGCAGTATAGCAGAGCATCAAGGCAGCCAGGTGGGGCATCAAGGCAGTCGGGTGGGGCATCAAGGCAGTCGGGTAGGGCATCAAGGCAGTCGGGTAGGGCATCAAAGCAGTCGGGTAGGGCATCAAGGCAGTCAGGTTGGGCAGCAAGGCAGTCAAGTGGGGTATCAAGGCAGTCAGGTGGGGTATCAAGGCAGTCAGGTAGGGACATCAAGGCAGTCAGGTAGGGTATCAAGGCAGTCAGGTAGGGACATCAAGGCAGTCAGGTAGGGCATCAAGGCAGTCTGGCGGGGCATCAAGGCAGTCAGGTAGGGCATCAAGGCAGTCTAGCAGGGCATCAAGGCAGTCTAGCAGGGCATCAAGGCAGTCAGGTAGGGCATCAAGGCAGTCTAGCAGGGCATCAAGGCAGTCAGGTTGGGCAGCAAGGCAGTCAAGTGGGGTATCAAGGCAGTCAGGTAGGGACATCAAGGCAGTCAGGTAGGGTATCAAGGCAGTCAGGTAGGGCATCAAGGCAGTCAGGTAGGGCATCAAGGCAGTCTAGCAGGGCATCAAGGCAGTCAGGTAGGGCATCAAGGCAGTCTACTAGGGCATCAAGGCAGTCTAGGAGGGCGTCAAGGCAGTCTAGTAGGGTATCAAGGCAGTCTAGCAGGGCATCAAGGCAGTCAGGTAGGGCATCAAGGCAGTATAGCAGAGCATCAAGGCAGTCAGTTGGGGCATCAAGGCAGTATAGCAGAGCATCAATGCAGCCAGGTGGGGCATCAAGGCAGTCCGGTATGGTGTCAAGGCTGTCAGGTAGGGGCATCAAGGCTGTCAGGTAGGGCATCAAGGCAGTCTGGTAGGGCATCAAGGCAGTCTGGTAGGGCATCAAAGCAGTCAGGTTGGGCAGCAAGGCAGTCAGGTTGGGCAGCAAGGCAGTCAAGTAGGGTATCAAGGCAGTCAGGTAGGGACATCAAGGCAGTCAGGTAGGGCATCAAGGCAGTATAGCAGAGCATCAAGGCAGTTTAGCAGGGCATCAGGGCAGTCAGGTAGGGCATCAAGGCAGTCAGGTAGGGCATCAAGGCAGTCAGGTGGGGCATCAAGGCAGCCAGGTGGGGCATCAAGGCAGCCAGGTGGGGCATCAAGGCAGTCGGGTAGGGCATCAAGGCAGTCGGGTAGGGCATCAAAGCAGTCAGGTAGGGCATCAAGGCAGTCAGGTTGGGCAGCAAG